AAACAGTCATTTTGCACTGCTGGGCAAAGGAAATAGCAAACTTGCTAACCATGCATTTTTATACCTCTCCCCAGCACAAAAGACATACTCTAAAGTATGCAGTCTAGCAGATTCTAAAATGCTGCTTAATTTAACAGCAAAATATGGCCATGCACACTATGTAAGCAGACATTAAATTAGCATTAGTTGGAATAACATGACAAATGAGAATGTGCAACTCTTGATCAGAGAAAAGAAAGAAGAGAAACAGGTCCAAACGGTGAAATCTTCCCATCATGGGTACCAAAAGTGTGAAACCATTGCAGGATATGGGTAAGTCTTGACTTCCATGTGGAGTTGGATTCTCAGAGGATGGAAGTTAGATATGGCAAATCACCCCAGCCAAGTATCTCCTCTTCAATATAATAAGCTGTTTATTTATCCTGCTGCAAAGTGTTCTAGGAAGTTGCCAAACAGGAAGAATATTCTTGCCTGAAGTAATTTGCAATCTAAGGACTGGATCCTACCAAAGCATCTGGTCTGAGGTTTTGAACAGCTTTTACTCCCATAAGATTTTGAAAGGTATTCAGGAAGGCCCTGTCTTACAGAATGCTGTAAGGTTTGGCTAAAATTGACTGTAAACTAGTCTCAGGCACTTAGCAAGTTTGTATTACTTTAGTCTTTAAAATGCAACAGAAATGTGCTGTGGATAGGTGGACTGAAATGAGATGCACAGAGATGAAATTATATTAACAGACATATAAACGTATCATGTTGCAAATGAAAGATAGACAATAACAATATTCCAAGAATAATAAAAATATTCAGATCTTCCTTCACACAGGCTGACTTATGAGTGCGGAGCTGCCACAATGGATAGGTTAGCGCAACAGAGTAAACTGTGCTGCGCCTATAAAACACAGACTTAAACCTGCTGCCAAACATCTCCCTTCTAATTACAATTTATTTCACTGAAACACCCCTTAAACACTTTTAAGCGAACAGTGATGTTCTTTAAATCTTGTTAGTAGGTGTCATGATAAAGAAATAAGAACACATATCCTGTGTTATGTGAGTAAGAAGAATTTAATGTTGCTGGAGATTAACTACCTCTCTCTTTTTTAACTCGATTCTTCACAGAGCCCAAACTTTCAGAAAAGTTTGTGTTTTCTCCTTAATTCAGTCTCTGGTTTTACTGTCAGGGCTTTTTTTTTGTAAGAGTTACATTTCTGGCTGGAATACAATGCTTCTGTCACAGTGCAGGGACAATTGCAGAACATTGCAAAGAATATTTGACCCCTGCCTTTTATTTCCTAAACGTATCGTCAGTGCCAAACACTGAATATATTAGCAGAATTAGGCATTGCTAAATGATAACACTTAGTCTAACAGATTTGGGGTTGGTTTAGTTGTTAGTTAGCATACACTAACTACCCCATGTGATGGCAGGAAATGACAGCTCCAAGGCTGAAATCAGATCCAGGCAGGTGGGCTCCTAAAGGAGCTCAGAGCAAACACAAGTGTTGGCCCGCGCAGATCCAGCTGCAGCAACAGAGCCTAAGGTTGCAGAAGGCTTTGCAGAAAACCTTGTAATTGTGTCTGAAATCTAATGCATCCTACCTATCATTATGCACACACATCATATATGATGTGTCATGTGTGATGATACATCAACACTACCTGCACTAGATAAGGGCAATAAGTGCTGTGAACGTAAAACAGTATGGCACAGGCGTCCAGATTTGCCTATGGCAGGGCATTTCAGTAATTCTCAGGTGGCGGGTTTTGTTCCTAAATAAACACACTGACTAAGACCAAGACATCTTTTTGAGCTCCAGGATCCGGAGTTCTCATGATAGAGGAGAATCACAGCGAATGACTTCTCCTTACAAACTACATCAAGTGCTTCTTTTGCTGTGTGCAAGACCAGGGATGAGTTACCCTACCTCTCTGAGCACATGCAGAAACCAGTGGAAAAGGGGAGACAAAAAGTCAAAGCCCAAAGATTGGCTAATAGAGAAAGAAGTGTTGTAACTGCTAAATCACCCAAACTGCTTTGCCAAACTTTGACATGCTTGATTTGCTGTGCTTAAATAATTTTGGGGGGTTAAAAAAAAAGGAGGGGAGGGAGGGGATCGGGGGGGGGTGGGGGTGGCGGGGAGGGCGGGAAGTGAGGAAAAATAACCAGCTGTTCCTTGTATAGTGCAGGAAACATGTTTGATTTATTGCTTTAAGGTTATTTTTGAAGGGGCTGCCTGTGGCAGCCAGAGTGCCGGAGAAGTCACTGAGGCCTGTCCACTTGAAGGGCTCAAACTGTTTCCTGAACAGCCCTTCTTCACTCGTCACCTCCGACAGCTCTTATTGACAACGTGTGACTGGGGCCCCGGAGTGTTTTAAAGCCGCGGGGGGCCGGGGCGGACAATAGGGCTGTCAATTACCTTTTCCCCCGTTGTGAAAAGGGGGCCGCGGACAATGCGTCCCGAAGGCGGGGGGTTGTGCCGCTCCGAGCCCCCGACCCCCGCGGCATTCAGCGCCGGGACTCTCCGGCCCCGGCTCCGCCGGGCCGAGGTGGAAGTGTCGCCGTGGAGAGCTCCAAAGGGGAGGCGCCCCCCGCCCCCCCATCCCCATCCCCGCTCCCCATCTCCGCCTCTCATCCCCATCCCCATCCGCATCTCCGCTCCTCATCTCTGCTCCGCAGCCCACACGCGGGGGAAGCAGGGAGGGGGGGTTGGGGGGGGGGGGGAGAGAACAACGCCCAGGCTGCTCTACCTATATTGTGCTTTAAAAACTTCCTGTATGCCTTGATCACTGCTGAGAGGACTGTCCATCATACAGGCGCTTTGTCTGGCAGTCACTTCCATTTGAATTTGACTGACTGAGGAAGCCCGAGTTATTTGTAAAGAACAACAAGGCTTTTCATTCATAATTTCAGTAGGGGGACAGGGTGCTAATGACTGAGCTTGAATAACCAGGGAATGTGGTATTCAAGGCAGGAAGAAGCCCAACTGGCTGCCAAATGAGAGGAAGGGAGGGAAAGGGGGGCGCGGAGGGAAGATGTAGGTGAAAGTGCTTGTGTGAAAAGGCAAACAATGAAATCGGGATCGCACACATGTATACAAATACAAATCAGGTTCTCAAAAGGTGAGACAGCCGAAGATAGAAGCAGGAAGGAGAACTGAGGAAATTCTCGTTTGTATTTCATTAACTCCCCTTCAGAATAGGCTTCTGCAATGCTAAAAAAGAGGTCTCGGCAAAAGGAGGCTTTCTTCTCTCCCGCCGCCCCCTCACCACGGAGAAAACGCTTTAGCGTTTTCTTCTTTTAGCGTCTCCTTTTAGCGCTCTCTTTTTTTTAGCGTCTATTCCTTTTTATTACAGAAAAAAAAAAAAACCAAAAAACTTGGGTTTGAAGTTAGGCCGAAGGAAAATTTTGCCTTTGCTGCTTAAACTCTAGCTCTGACAAAACATGAAAGCACTAAAGCTAGCCCGGGCTGTGGCCCAGCACAAAGCACCCATATATGTAATTTTACACACTGACTGTAAATACACATATTCTCTAACTCTGCAAAGACTCTTTTCAAAAGCGAAACTTTACCTGATGCAAAATCTGTTTACCTGAATAAAAGTCATTACCTTGATTTCTACTGTTGTTACCTTTATTTCTACTGTTGTTACCTTGATTTCTACTATTGCTACGATTTCTACTGCTATTACCTTGATTTCTATTTCAGTAGGATTCTGAATAAGGCATTAACAGAAATTCCCTCAGTTACGACAGATTTTATAGGACTATAATCTGTGTCCCTGTGGAGAAAACAAGCCTACAGTGCTAAGAAAGAAAATAAAAACTGAACAGCACGTAGTTTGGAAGACATAATTGCTTTGACAGAACGTAAACCATCAGAAGTTCATATACTTTGTCAATTTGAAATGTGTTGCAAGAAAACAACAATAAGAAAACTTAAAATATGTTAAACGGCTTAAACATTTAACCTCAAGAATGAAGGAAGTTTTCCAGTGGGCTTATTTTGCAAGCTGGTTCTGTCAGATGCGGTGGATTTATTGAGTATGTTTGTAATGCTGTTTCCAGTACTTCCTTTAGCTTTTCTTAATTAGGACACCATCCTGGGAGCCGCTCTGGGCAGCTGGATTCCCTCCTCGACCTGGAGCACCACAGACTTTTGCTCTGACTCCAGAAGGTGTCAGGGCCTGCTTAAGAGGAACAGCTCAGAGATTTCAGCTTCTCAGTTAATTTCTGCCTTTGTTTCTTCAGGGCTTTTGAAAGTAATAGGCCTGCTTAAAATACAGGAAAGATGGTTACAAAACCACAAATAAGATAGGAATAACTACACCAGATGCAGAGACGGAAGTTTAGAGGAACTCTTTAATCAAATGGTGGGAGTGGATGCTTCTGCAGAGATAACCTTGTTTAGATAATCAAACATTTTGTCCTCTTTCCTCTCTAAGAAAGATAAGTATAATTATCTAACAGTTCCTACTCTCTTTTAAGGTGTTTCAATCCTATTAGGCACAGATTCTGAAATTTTAGTCGTGCAGAAAGACCCTGGAGCCCACAAGGAAATCCAGCATGGTGTGTCTCTGTGGGAAGCAGCATGTTCACAGTGGAGAGGCAGGACTGGGACCTGAGATTCACAATTCTTGCTTTTCAAATGATTTACTTCTTTCTTTCACCCTGGGTTTTCTCACCTATATAAAACAGACATGGCAACATCTCTTGAAAGCTGTTTTGAGATCTGTGGAGAAAACTGTAATAGAATATCCAGCATTTTAATTGCTGTCTTTGATACTGTCATAATCAGGAGAATGAAACAGTTCTACGCAGATCTGACAGCAGGATCAGCATATTTCCCAATAGTATTTTTTTGCAACCATACAAATAGGGTTTTGTGTGTGTGTTCTGATTTTCAGACAAATAATGGGAAATGCCATTTTTTGTTTTCCTTTTCATACAAAATTCATCCCTCTCTAGGAAACTGTTTGATTCTGCACAGGACACCTCTGCTTTGAGGATGTGCTTGTGTGTCACACCAATGAATACAAGCCTTTCACAACTGAAGAAAATAAATATAACCTCAGCATATGAGAGAAAGATAATACAATTTTTAACGGTTGCTCAACCTGCTTGCTTTGATTTGCAGCAAAATCTCTAAGTCTTATTTATACATATCCCTTGGCTGGCTTGCATGCGATACGCTACCAATTGTTAATCTCTTGGAGGTATTTATTTGAACTCCTACCTCCAGTGAAAGAAGGTCTCTTAGGTTCTGGGAGCAGAGTAGCTGTCAGACCATAGAGGTCAGTGTAAGCTACCTCAAACTTCTGGAAGATCTGTGCTCTTCCAGCTACCTTTCTTACAGCACCCAAGATATTCATTTACCTTTCCACTACACTACAGTTTAGGGCTAGTTTGGGTATCTTTCACCATTTGTTTTCTGTGATGTGTGGATTCCTATGGACTACTTCTAAATGGGAGGTCTTATAATTTATAATTTTCTAAAAAAGTCTACACTTCCCTCATGATTTTTTTTTTTTCTCTTCTAAAACATAGAAAAAAATCTACAGACTGATGAAATTTGAAAACTACTGTGCAAACCACCATAAAGATGTGATAAGTTACTCCACAAAACCTCTTCTCAAATTTCCCATAACTGCTAACATTGACCTCTTCCATTTCTTCTAAGTTACTTTTACCCCAGGTCAACACACAAATGTCTGCATTCTGTTACAAAATATTTTCAGATTTTACAAACTAGCAAGCACTTACTAACATTTTAATAGGCAAACAGTTAATTTTGCATAAAATTCTAGTATAGTCAAGCCCATCTTTATCTAGCCTTTATCTAGCCTATTGAATGACGTTACAGAGTGCAGTGTTTCAAATGTTGACAGACATGGCATGTCTATCCCATACTCATGATTACTTCTACCAAAGCAGTTGAAAATGTTAGGAGGAAAATCCTAGGACAAACAAATACAAAAAGTCTGCTATAATACTAATTTAGCAAATTAAATGCACTTACTCCTATCCATGCCAAATTGTTCTACTTTTGAATATTTTGTCTTCTCATTTGAGAAGACAGAAGTTGAATTCCAAAAAAAAAAACAGTGCTGATTTTATCAAGGACACAAGTATAACCAAATAACATTGAATGGCACATCAAAGAGCATACTAGTTTTATTAGAACAATATATATGCAAAAGCTCCACATTATATTATAAGTACTAAATGTGTGTATTCTTCAGTATAATTTCAGAAGGATCAGGAAAGGGATTTGTTTATTTTTTAAGTTTACATACTTATATTCGGTATTCAATGAGAAAATACTCTACTGGCAAGTGTCCCTCCATATACTGTGGCATTCATCAGAAGGGATAAAGTTACACAAGATCTGGCCTATATCACCTCTAAGGAAGGTGGAGATTATTAGCTAGATCTGAATAATAGTAGTTTAATCCCAGAAAATCTGGGCATCCCTAAATGCAGGAGACCAAGTCCCAGCAACTGCACAGCATGTGTATCCCTAATGGGAGCAGCAGGTATTTATTCTGTATTCACATTTAACAATGCTGTTCCTTGTCCCACCAGAGCAGGTTCCAAGTAGCTTCTGCTCATTTTCCCCTCTTAAGGAATTCTGGGATTTCCATCAGGTAACCTACAATGAAAATCACACAAGCAAAACCAGCAATACTGAGTCAGAGACCTAATTTTCTTCATTAAAAATGTCCAACTATTTTTACAGCACAGTGAGTTTGACTTCTCTCTTTCTCTCTGTGATATACCTAAGTGTCCTTGTCTGCCCTGAGAATCTCAATGAAATATCAGTTGGCAGAAAGTTTTACAGCTAATCACTTTTAAAAAATCCTATAATTCTTTTATGTACATTACCTTTTTCAGAGTTACAAACATGAAAGGCAATCAATTAAAGGTTTAAGCTCCTAAGGAAATTCTGGGCATTGGAAGCAGTGTGCAGCCAAACTTAGTCCTTTCAGGATGTGCAGAATCAATATCCTCACATCACTGCATTAACTCATGAGATGATGAACAAAATGTTCTGGAAGTCAACAAATTTACTGCACTTTCATCCCCTTGCAAGAAATTCCATATGAATTAACTTCCTTTTATTTTACAAAAAGAGGAAATACTACCTGTTTTCAGGTCCTGGGTCTGAAAATCAAACCATGTAAAATCGTGTGGGACAATATCAGGATGCAGAAAAGTTTCAGCTATTTCCGTCATGTCACAGACCTCACTCTGCCCAACTCTTCACCTCAAGTCACTGCAATTGCTGCTATTTTGTCAAACACACACACGTATCTATATGTCTATCAATGTATGTGTATATGTGCATGTACACATATATATATGTCCACCAGCTACCATTTCTCTAGCGGAGAATGAACTAAAGACCTTCCATCTCCAAAAACAAGGTCTGCTTGAGTTAAAAGAAAAAAAATAAATAAATAAATTAAAAAAAAAAAATGCAATGGTTAGAGCAAACCACTAGGGGAAACATAGTCACATGCATTAAGCCGCTATCCATGACAAGAGATGTGAAATGTGAATGATACATGTAATCCTGAGAAAGCTGGTTCCAAGGTAACATCAAATGAAAGGCCTGAGAATTCAGCTTTGAGGTTCCAAACCAAAACCAAACCAAAAAACAAACAAGCAAGTAACACTTTATATTGCATTATTTGTCCACTAGTTATTGATCACCTGTGTGCCAATTAGTGCAAAAAAGAGGCTTCTCTTTCAAGCTCAGCACTGCTGTATGCTTGGGATTTTTTTTTTTTTTTTGTCTTATTATTCTTGTTTGGGTTTTGGAGTTTCGTGTTTTGGTTTGTTTTGTTTTGGGGGTTTTTTTTTGTTTGGTTGGTTTTTGGTTTTTTTTTTTTTTTTTTTGCATAAGACACTGATGCCTCACCATTTTGCACACGCGACTGGATTTGTGAATAAAAATAGGTTCACTGTTTTCATATCTGTCTTTGGGACTTCTCACTGTATCAACTGTATACACCTGTACTTGCAAACTGGCATATAAATAGCCAGTTGCACTACTGACTGATTTTAAAAGGGTATTATGAACTTTCCAGTTTAAACACTATTTACATACTCAGTATAAATACTGGTAGATAACCTAACACCCCTTTAACTATGTACAGGCTTGCACAAAGAGTTCTTCGCCCATTTTTTACTTTGCTATGTAGGAGGAAGTGATTTTTCTCTTTCCGCAGTGAATGACATTAAGATCGTGTCCTCTTCCCCAGGTAACCCGTGGATTTCCAGCCTGCGGACAGGCACCCCTCCGACGATGCCCAGGTCAGTGCTCGGTGCCTTCGCGCTGCTGGGTGCCCCCTACCGTGAGGGAAGCCCAAGGCAAGGCCTGCGGGCTTCCTCCCGCCTTTCCCCTGCCACAGCTGGAGCTGCCCTCCTCGGCAGAGCCTCTGGGGTCAACCCCCGTAGCCCTGCCGCCGCCGCGCTCCCTCTGGCGGGCAGAGCGGCCTCGCCGCCTTCGGCTCCATTCCCCGGCAGCCCCGAAGGGAACCCAGCCCCGCGGGGCTGCGGCTCCAGCCGTCGGACTGCCCTGCCCCCGGCCCTGACGGGCGTTTCGCTCCGTCTGCACGTCCAGAGGGGAGAAGTGGATGGGAAGCGGATGGTGCCAGGGCCCCAACACCGTCCCCTCCGAGGCGGCAGAGGTTTTGTGCATGCTTATGGAGAGAGGTGGCCTTTGGGAAGGGGAAAAAGACCCGTGTAACTCAGGCTAACCCTACTGTCAGGCAACTGCGGAAAATAATCTGCAGGTTCAGAATATTATCGTGAAAGAATAAGTATATGCCTGTAAGAACGCGAAAACCCTAGGGCTGCCAGTGTAAGGCACTGCCCTTTTTATTTCCAAGTTTTTACAGAGGATGACCACCCTCTTCAAAAAGTGGTGACAAGCAGGTGTAGAAGAGGAAGTGCCTACAAAATTGCCTCGAATAGTAAAAAAGGCTGATAGGGGTTTTGCACAGAGGACTGCTCATATAAATAATGCAGTGCACTGCTGCCTTGCACATCGTGTGTATTTTAAGCAGTGCCACACGTGATGCGGGTAATGTTCGTGCTCGCTGCCTGCCTACGTGGATACACTGCTTTCTGCGGTTAGATACACGGAGGCACAAGATACCCGGGCCCAGCGACAGTGGCCCCCCTGGCGACTTTCCTACAAAAGGGACCGAGCAGGGGCCGTGTCAGGAAACGCCCAGAAGACAAACAGTCACGTTTGTGAGCTGACCGTATCCCCTACATGAATGGGAATTAAAGTTTTTTCTTTTTCTACCCCTAAAAACCCTCCACCCTCGGCACAGGCGAGAGCATTCCGCTGCTGTCCGGGACATGGAAACTCCGCAGCAGCTGGAGGCGCGGGAAGTACCGCAGCGCTCTGTCACCGGCCTGTCCCGCTCCCCCCGTGCCGCTCCGCGCCCTGCGGGCCCCGCTCCGCGCTCCCGCCCGGCCGCGGGGCCGCCCTCATCGCGTTAATCCGCGGGACAATGCTCCCGGTAACCACCCTGCTTTCGCCCCGGCTGAAAAGGGCCGGAGAGGGAAGGGAAGGGCAGAATGGGGAAAAAAGGGGGGCAAAAAGTGTAAACTTTAATTCCACACGGTGAAAGAAACACGGGGGTGGGGGGTGGGGGGAGCACCTGGAAACGGGTTTCCCGACATCCCGCCGAGGCGGGGAGAGCGCGCCTCCCTGCCCAGGAGAAGCGAGCTCCCCTCGGCTCCCCTGCAAACCTATCGCCGCCTGCCTCTGAATAAATACACGAGCACAAAAGCAGCCGCAGCGCCGTGTGACCGCGCACGGAGGAGCCTCCTGTGAAAACAGGCTGCTGCCAGGCCTCCGGAGAGGGGCGGAGGGGCTCAGTGGGGATCAGCGGGGTCTACGCACCGCCCCGCGCAGGGCCGCGCACCGACGGGCCGAGACCGCGGCTGGGTCGGTGGCGCTGCCCTTTTGAATGCCTCCCGCAGCTCGGAGTGCTGGCAGGGCGCTGGGAGCGCCAGTGAATGTAGCCCCGCAGAGCCAATGAGCTGGGACCGGATGCGATATATCCTCTGGGACAACAACTGCTCTGTTCCTCCTCAGATCCACATGACGCCATTTACTGCTGCTTTTGCAGAGAGATCACCCTACCTCCTCCGGAAAGAAAAAGAGAGAGAGGGAGAGAGAGAGAGAGCAGAAAAACGCCGAACCCCTACAGCTCAGATCTCAAACCTTCCTCCTCCTCCTCCTCCACCTCCTCCAAACACACAACAACAACCACCACCACAAATCCGCTGCGCTCCCAAAACACCCCCCCCCCCGATTGCAAACCACAGAGCTGCCTGCAACACACACACGCTCGCAGAGGGAGCGAGAAAGCTAGAGGGAGAGAGGGGAGAGGAGCTTGCAGCAAGCAGCTTCTCAGCAGAACGGCTACATTGCACAAGCTGCTTTTTTGGAGGAGCTCAGTGGAAGAAAGCTCTGGGATTTTATTTTAGATCCACTTTATTTTGTTTTCTTTGGCTTTGCCCTTCCTCTTGATCATTTGCAACAAAAAAAAAAAAAAAGTGACTTGGTATTGGCGATTCGGCCTCCGGTTCATTGAGGAAAAAAAAGAAAAGTGTGTGTGAGAGACTTTGAGTGATTTCTTTTTAGGAGCAAAGAAAACCCACCCCGATCCGGAGAGGTGTTTTTATTCTTATTATAGTATATACGCGCACACACGTATTTATAATCGATCTGGGAGAGGGACCTAACTTTGCTCTGGACTTTTTTACGTGGTGATCATTCTTACTTTAATTTGCAAGTTGGACTAAAGCAGAGTTTGGAAAAGAACTTTTTTTTTTGCTTTAGGGCTGGATTTATTTGCAAGCCGCAGGAAGAAGAAAATACAAGAGAGAGAGGGGTTTGGTGCAGCGCCGCGATCACGGTGAGAGCTTTTTCCTTCTTTGCAAAATAAGCTTTTCAGTAACCCCCCTCCAGCCCCCCTTAGTTGCTCCAAGAAAACTCGTGGAAATGTTTGAGGCTGATGCCTTTTCCATTCGTACAGGTTCTCCCTCTCGCCCCTTTCCCCTCTCCTTCCTTTCTCAGAGAGGAGCCGGAGGTGGGATTTCAGAGCGTTTTCTCTCGGAGGGGGTGGGGGGACCTCTGCTGGGGTTTACCGACTGAGCCTCCTTTGCGCCCCGCCGGGGTGCCTTGGGGGCGCGGGGGGCGGAAGGCTGTGCGGGCGCGCAGGCATGCCTACGGAGGCTGCGAGCGGGGCGGCGGGGGGGACCCAGAGCACACGGGCCGGGACACGCAGACACACAGAGTTCCGCGTGCTCTCGGTGCTGCGGAAAGCGGGGCACGGGCGGTCCTCGCCGGGCACGCGTGGGTTTCCGACAAGCCCCGCGGGGAGGTGAAGGGAGGGCGCAGCTGGGTGGGCGAGCGCAGGGGCAGTTTGTGTGAGTGTGTGTGTGTGTCCCTTCGTCTTGGGGGAGAGCGAGCGACCCGCCTTTCAGTGCGTGATTTACGCCCGTCTGTAGTGGCGTCGGGAGATCCGTGCAATTCGGAAGTGAGTGCACGTCTGGTACAAACCTACGTGCGTGCATGTGTGTATACACATCTCTGTTTCTCGTGTGATGAAATTAATTCGATCCATCAGACGAGCAAAGTTCTTCTCCAGGTTCTGCCATGCAGAGGGCATATGTGGAGGGGACGGAAAGCTTCAATTTTTGCTTTTACTTCCCTCCCCCCCCTCCCCCTTAGGTGGGTTTACTTTGTAACACCCCCTTTACCCTCCCCCCCCCCAAAAAAAAAAATCTGCTGGTGTTTTCAACAAGTTATTTGTGTGTCAGTTTGCCCCACCCCGATGGTAAAGTCCCTTTTGCCCTAATCCATAGTCTGATCACACACTCGGCCCCTTAATGGGGGTTTCAAAGCACTTTGAAAGAAGAGGAGGTAGTTGGTGTGTGTGTGCGGTGGTGATGGGGGTGGGGGTGCCTTGCACAGGCTCCGGACACAAAACAGAAATTCACGGGCAGAGGACTTCTCCCCCTTAGGCTCGCCTTCTCCCCGCCAGCCAGACACGGGATTTTTCCACAGCACGCAAGAAGCCCCTTGCGTTTTAAACTTCCCCGAATGTGCCGAACGCGAAACCCGGCCCCCTTGCTCGCCCTTTTGCCAATCCCAGCTAGGAAAAGTTAGCAATCATGGCACTTGAGCTCTGCGAGATTGGACTTTGGCTTTTAGAAGTGTGGAATCGTGTTATCGCACACACGCACACACAAAAAGGCGAATGCTGCTTCCCTGCTCTTGGTGGATGGAAAGGGGAGAAGTGCTAGATCAGAGAGAGGAGGAAGAGACGTGCTTTCCCGTAAGAGTTTTCAGGCAAACGTACTTTCGCAAATAAATGTGCTGGAGGTTTGCGTCTCGTCCTGTTAGCGGATCGATTAAGGGGTGAAAAAGGAGGGAGGATCGCCGGGCTCTGACCGATGTCCCGCTGGAAAGGCCCTTTTGGTCCCTTCGGGCCGGGGCAGAGGGGGATGGGCTGAAGGTCAGGCAATTTGCAGAATATGCGTAAAATAAGGGGAGGTTTTCCAGCGACTGGCTTTGTGAAGCTGAGTGGGTGCTTATGGCAAGGCGAGAGGGGAGTAATGTGCCTTTTGCCCGTCTGTCCCGGAGGTGTTGTCTCCAACCGTCTGCAGGGCTCCTGGCATTAGCCGGGAGGGGGAACAAGGCTTCTTTAGCATCTGTCGGGGGAGGGCAGGGGGGAAGAGTTAAAAGGAAACATGGGTTTGACGTTCCTGATAAGGCGGCCTCAGCAGCCCCCTCCCACCCCAGAGGATGTCTCCTGGTTATCTCCAAGTTGTCTGCACTTGCGGGACTGCCGGCGGCTCCCGCGGGCAAGGGGCTGCCGCCTCCCACCTGCCGCGCCGGGATGGAGCCGGGAGCTGGGCAGGGAGCTCAGCGCGGAGCCTTCTCCTCCGCCCCCCACCTTGGCGTCTGAGCCGGTGTCGTCTTAAGCGCCTGCAGGTCAGGGTCAGCTCCGCTCTTGCACTGGGTTGGCATTTCTGGAGAGGCTGGGTCTCATCCGGCGTGCCTTCTCGGCTGGCTGGGTCTGCCTAAAAGCTGGATGTGCAGGAGAGATAGGGCTGCTAGTTCATCTTAAGGGTGGGGAGAAGGTTTTATTTTCTGCCCTTTTCCTTTTTAAGATAGTTTTCCAGATGAGAAAATGTCTACTTAAACTGCTGGTTGAAACTTTTTATATGGCAAAGGTTTTAATATGAAGAAAACTTCAGTAATAATTCAAGATAAGTTTGCAAGACTTTTTTTTTTTTTTTTTTGGGGGGGGGGGTTAGGGCACACACACCATGACATGCACTCCGCATGTCACCAGGATTTGGCAATATTTGAAATAGGCAGGCAGTCTTAAAAACTAGATATTTTTTTTTTAAGAAAAAGCTCTTGAGGGGAAGGAGCCAGGAATTAAAAGGTTAAACATTTTCCACTGATGCTAGAATAAAGACAGCATCTTGAAGTAGTCATTGTTAAACTGTTTGGCCATATTTTATTATACAACGGTATAGTATTATTGTTGGTAACTGATGTGTACAGAGTAACACTGTGGTGCTCTTTCTAGGTATAATTGAAGACATTGTGTGGTCCTTGTAAGAAGCTTGGTTCCTGCTTGGGTTTTAATTGTAAAATATTGTTCTGGATTTTTGTCTAGGTAATTGGATTTTGGAACCGCTTTAAGATATGATAAAGGCAAGGCAAATATTAAGAGATTTGGAGGGCAGTACTTGAAACTTTTGCATATCTGAGCATGGAAGTTAGTTATTTACAAGTGCTCATCTTCTGGGTCCTTTACTAGGTTTCCATTTAAATTCTTAAGTCTGCAATTCTACTTTGTAGTTAATGATCCTTTAAAGCACTATTCGAAATCAAGTAGACTTCTTAGATGATGGCATTATTTGGTTATATTATGCATGCCTCTGTCCCAAAGGCCACTCTTGGTAATATTTACAATTTGAAATGTAGGCTATGGAATTTTTTACACATTAAAAAAAAAAAACAAACCTGTGGTAGTATTGCTTTTGTAGTATTGAGCCTTAAAATAACAATCTCAGTGGTGTACACAAGTATGACACACACTAAAATACTGGAGAGAGATATTTTTACTTGTGCTGTTGAAGTTTTTGGTAGCATTAACTTATTTAAATGTCTAACCTCAAACATTTTATTGCTATTTAGTGTTTTTCTTGGGACCATTGGTATTAAACTAAAATTTCCTATTTACATCATGTAAAGTTTAATGTGTAAAAAGACTAGCCTACCAAAATATTATCCAGTTTTAAACAAAATTGGAGAATTATATGTCTGTCATCAGCAGGTCACATTACACTTGCTAAATACTTGAGGGCTTCTTTTTTTTTAATGTAAGTTTTTCAGTAGCATGATATGAAAAGAAGAGTCACTTCAAGTGGTTGAAATGTGATCACTCTAAAGGCCATGGTCTAAGCAGAAGATGGCCTAGGAAGCCTTAGTTAGCAGGAGCAAGACCTAGACTTTCTAGAGCCATAAGTTAAGATACGTGGACCTAGAACAGAATCCCTTTAAGCTGTCCATAGGAGCAGGCAGGACAGGCTAAGGGAAGTGCATTCAGCTGGCAGACACTCTGCCCCAAATATGACTCTTTTTTTTAATGGCTGATGCATTACTTGATTGTGTGCAGTGCTGTGGGATCCTGCAGGCTTGAAAGGCTGCTGGAGAAAGCATGAAATGTGTTGCAATAGTGAACCCTCTCTTTGTTGCTCCAGGAATTCAGATGTGTTCTAAGCCTGCCGGGGTGAGCACGCTTCTGGGAACTGATGGAGACAAGAGCTCAGCACAGCAGCGGGTCACAGGCCTTGCAACAGGCTCGGCGTGACAGTGGGAGACCACACGGGGAGCCCGACCAGCGGGATGTCCTGATGCAGCAGGTTCACGTCTTGTCGTTGGACCAGATCAGAGCCATCCGAAACACAAATGAGTACACAGAGGGACCTACAGTGGCTCCACGGCCAGGGATCAAGTCCACTCCTCGGCTAGCAACCCAACCCAAAAATGAAAGGCCCCATGGCTTGCCCGAGCATCGCCATTTTAGCCGGATTCAGCACACACAAATACATGCCTCTCCTCGAGCGCCTCTGTCTCGTTCTGTCAGCACAGTCAGCACAGGTTCACGGAGCAGTACAAGGACAAGTACGAGCAGTAATTCATCCGAACAAAGACTTCTCGGGTCATCTCCAGGGCCAGCTGCTGATGGGATAGTCCGAATGCAGCCCAAGTCTGAGTTCAAGTCAAGTGAGCTGAAGCCGCTGAGCAAAGAAGACTTGGGAGCACACAGCTACAGGTGTGAGGACTGTGGAAAGTGTAAGTGTAAGGAGTGCACTTATCCAAGGACCCTCCCATCATGTTGGATCTGTGACAAGCAGTGTCTTTGCTCAGCCCAGAACGTGGTTGATTATGGGACTTGCGTTTGCTGTGTGAAGGGCCTCTTCTATCACTGCTCTAATGATGATGAGGACAACTGTGCTGACAACCCCTGCTCCTGCAGTCAGTCACATTGCTGCACTAGATGGTCCGCCATGGGTGTGGTGTCCCTCTTTCTGCCTTGCTTGTGGTGTTACCTACCAGCCAAGGGTTGCCTTAAGTTGTGCCAGGGCTGTTATGACCGGGTAAATCGGCCGGGGTGCCGCTGTAAACGCTCCAACACCGTTTGCTGCAAAGTTCCCAGCGTCCCCCCCAGGAACTTTGAAAAGCCAACATAGCATCACTAGTCAGAAATACTAAAGTGACAAGGATTATTTTAAAGTACATATGCAACCAACTAAGCAGCTATGGTCTTGGCACTGTAGTAGAAGGGCTGGGGAATCTACTTTGCTGTTTGCAGTGAAATGCTTGCCTCTGTGTGCCATCTTAACTGATACGCTTGTTAGAATCCAGCTAGTGGCATACAGAAAAAAGAAAAAAAAAGGGATGCAGTACATTGTGACCCACATATTGCATAAGCTAAAGCAACACAGACACTCCTAGGCAACTCTATTGTTTGTGAATAGTACTTGCAAAATTTGTAAATTGGCAAATGACTCCTTTTTTTCATTGTTTTCTGCCAGAGATAATGTGCTATATTTTTGTATATACAATAATATTTTCAACTGTGAAAAATAAGTGGTGTCATAAGACATGGCACAGTCACAAAATATTATACTAATATGTTGTACATTCGGAAGAATGTGAATCAATCAGTATGTTTTTAGATTGTATTTTGTCTTACAGAAACCTTCTATTACAAGACTCTGATTTCCCTTTGGACTTCATGTATATTGTACAGTTACAGTAAAATTCAGCCTTTATTTTCTAATTTTTTCAACATATTGTTTAGTGTAAAGAATATTTATTTGAAGTTTTATTATTTTATAAAAAGAAATATTTATTTTAAGAGGCATCTTACAAATGTCACCCCTTTTTATGAGGACGTCATAGTTGCTGCAAATAAGGGGTGAACGATGCATATGTTCACTATAAAATAGAAAATATATTAACGTTTGAAATTAAACTGGGCTACTTGTCATTTTTTCCCCCTATTTACTGTCCTGAGTTGGGAGAATTGGTGCTTCTAACTGCAGATTTCACAGGGATACAGTCACAGTGAGTCTAATACAAGAATGAAAGTAGAATTTTTAAATGTATTTTTTTGTGGTTGTTTGCTGCTTCACCTGAAAATAATGCGGGATTTTTTGCTTCCTTCCTTTGCACAAGTATCCCATATACTGTTCCTACGATCAAAAAGGAAAATGAATATAGGAAAATGCATTAATTCATTCCAGACTAGGACTAATAGGCACTGAAAGCTTGACCTATTCTATAAGTGATGAGCTTTTGTGCTTCAAATAGGAAATAAGTAATCATTCACAAAAAATGTTAGACTTGCATGGCTTTACTCAGAGAGAGAAAATAAAAAAAAAAAGAAAATTAATACAGTCAGTGCAAAAATCTTGCAGGATTACTTGTTAAAGTAGAAGAATACACCGCAGTGAATGATAGATCTGAACGCAGTCCAGCCTTATGTCAAACATTTGCCTCACTTGTAAGAAGAAAGTTGCTTGATTTGTCATTTGTGGCAGTTACCTTCCACTGAGGTCAAAATCCTTTCACTGCCAATTTTCCCACCGGAAGCCTAGAGAATGATTTACCTTTCTTTATTAACAAACTATCATTTCCTGTTCTGAGCATGTCTCTCCAAATTTAGAGCTCTTAATGTTGAATTTTATTTATATGTTTCTTAAGCTGGTATTTAAGAAATAGTTGTATTTTTATGCTGACGCTCAGAAAAATCTCACAGCCTTTTCTGAACCCTCTCCAACAAAAACAAGTTATAACTAATAAATTAAGAATTCACTAAAAGTTGAAAACCAGAGCGTTGAGTAAATGTTACATCTTTTTGCCCCTTGATTTTCATCTCTGATCTGGTGCTTGGGCTATTTTACATAGGCCTGTAGTGCTCGTAAATCTAACGCTGTTTGTGTGTATTGGTTATCAATCGTCAAGTGAAATTAAAAAATGCAAGTCCTGACTAGTTTGCAAAACAAAAAATAGTTGATACATGGGCCTTGTTCTCATTCTTTTTTTTTTTTTCCCTTTGCTTTTTGCACCAGTTGGCTGAATACCTTATTATACAAAGACGAGCAGTATATATTTAGCCTCCTGAGTGGAGTTTGCCAGGAAGAAGGTGGCTTTATGTTACATGAGTAATTTGTCTGTATTTAAAGCACATCTGTATATTGCAACTGAGTGCTGGGGCATATACGTGAGATTGTACTTGGCTGCTGATAAACAGACTTTTATTACTTTTTTTAGAAATTCTGTTCCTGGAGGAGTTGGTAACCATCATGTGCTTCCATTCACTGAATGTAATTCTTGAATTAGATTAGGTACTTATGCCAAAACTGTCCAGGGTTAATCTTACTGATTGAAAACAAACATGGGCATAATCCATTTATTGGGGGGATCTTTGATCTTTACACTGAAAACCCCAAAACCCACTGATATCAGTAGACATTAAATCCAGTATTTTCATTGCATGGATGAACTTGACAATACTGAAGGTGAGTCCTGTCTTTTCAGTGATTTATGTTTTGGTCAAGGCAGATATCTCTAAGGAAGGCTGAAGGTGAAAGTGGAAAACCGTCATGTACCTACTAGCTAAAATCCCCAGTACTAAAGATGTGTTTTGCTTTGCACTGTAGCAAATGCTTTGACAACCTAGGTAAGTTCTAAGGAAAAAGGAAAACCATCTTCTTGTTGATAGTGAAATCTGAAGATGATCTTAACATTAAACACTGGTCCTCACCTTCTACTTGGTTCTTAACAAGGTTAAATAATGGATCTTCCCCACCCCAGGTAAGCTCACTACCAGTGCATTGGGTTGCACGTATGACTTGGGAACGAGGACATACAGGAGGATGCCGTTAGGAACAGACTGTTGAGCTAACTACAGTGCTGGGGTCTTGGCATCAGTTAGTATGAATTAGTGTGTGCATGTGCAGTGGACTCTTAAAAGTTGGCTTGTTTATGTCAGTTACCATTCTAATACAAAACTCAATTAGATAAGGTTTACTATTCTAAATAAAATCAAAATCTTGCCTCGAACAAATTAGATCGTTTTAGTAAGAATTAAGAGGGCTTTTTAAGTGGATTGAGGTAATGTTATTAAAGCATGCCTACTTTGTCCTTCGAGATAGGAAAGTGCAGGTCCAAGAAAGGAAAATTTTCCATACACAGGTTTTGAGGATAACCGTGAAAGTCATGCCAGATACATACCATACAGGACTCTGATTTTAGACAGCTACTAAGCCATGAGAAAGGGGAAAACCTGTTTTATTGCTGTATTTGTTGTGTTGCTTTAGTGTTTTGATCTGTTAACCTCTGATAAATTCTGAAGTCCCTGTAAGGTTTGCTTAAATACCTGCAGGATTGGACTGACAGTTCACTGTAGAAACAGTGCAAACACATAGCTTTTTTCAAATATTTTTTCAGTATGACACAAGCTACAAATATGTACATCAAATTTCCTTGTACGGTAACTTAAAATGGTCTATTAATATCCTCCAGCAAATTTCTTATTTTGCTCTTTGTGACAGTGATCACAGGGTTAAAAAAAAAAAAAAAAAAAAAAAAAGGAAACTTAGATTCAAGTGAAGAATAAAATGGCACAGTACTTTAGATGAAAATAAAATGTGTTCTTGAAGGATTTAAGATCATATTCAGGTGAGAATTTATACATTCAAGTGAGTTACCAAATTAGTTTTCAAAAACCAAAATTTTCCAAATGAGGAAGTGCAGTAGTTAAGGGATGATGACTAACATGATAGTTTTTTTGCACTTTCTTACAAAACATGTGTGAGGTGGAAGTGACTTGACAGTAGTGAAGTACAGATCATTTATGAACCATGCTTTTTTTTTTTTTTTAATCTAATCTACAATATTACCGGTATTACCTTTTTCACTTTTGACAAAATATAAACCAATTCATTTCATGATGAGTGAAATCTTAAGGCATATTCTTAGATGGCAGGGAGAGAATAGAATGCATTTCTGTACTGCAGTAGAACATTCAGTTGTGTTTAAGAATTAACTGTTGGGGAAGATGGATTTGAACAGTCTGTCTCAGATGTTCTTAGATGTGTGCAGGTACAGCAAGTAAGAATGATTTCACTTGCTGAGACTAATTTCTCAATCAGTCATTGGAGCAGAGCAGAGATCCAGAAAATGTTTGGGTGAATGTGAGAGCACGCTTGCCTGAGTAATGTCTGTATGAATAGTATTGGATAGATTCCTTACTGAAAACGTCAGCAATGTATTGGCTCATATTAAATCAATTACAGGTTGGGTTTGCAGATAGACTACATTGTGACAAAGTACAACAAATCCTTACCAATGAAAACACTCAGTTTTTTTCCTGTTTACCCAATCTGATTTTAAACTGGAAATATAGAATCAGAATAACTGATGTCTCATTGAACTCAGGACAGTTTGACGTGAAAACTGTGCATATACAGATATAGTTCATATATGTAGTTATTTTTCTTTCAAAAATGTTGTCCATTTCAATCTGAGGACCCCATTATGCTGTAGTCTTACCTATTTTTCTTCATATTTCTTCTTTCTGGTCCCTCTCCCTCCCCTTGACCTTTCCTGGCCATAATACATAAAGTTTACTGCCAATTACTAGGACAAAAGGTGAAAGAGGAGGATGAAACATGCTTTTCTTATTAGTTTTGTCTCTGAAAGTTTAAGAAAAGGTAGGAAAAATTATTACCTTGCTGTACTTAACCTGCATTTTAGAGAGAGACAAAGTGGTTTTCAATTCATGTGACCTTGAAATCCACAGTTCCAGAAAACATCTTACTTTCATTTCTTTAGTGTGGTCTTTATTACCTGAAAGGGCTTTATGTCTCTTTAAAGAGTTTCGCTTTGTTTTAACCTATTGGAGCTGTATTTCAGGCGGCCGAGAAGGAGGTCTTGTTACTGTAAAGGCATAATCTGTTGTTCCTCTGTCACAGGGGTTGTTCAGAAGACAGCTGATGCAGTTACCTTTGGGCATGGATAGAAACAATTTCCCTTGAAACAGGGTGGGCTCTCAGCATTTTCAACCTTGGGAAAAGGCAACAGTTGTACAATGTATCAAAAGTTTCTCTTTGCCTGTGCTGTAGGAAAGTTTTTTTTCTCTGACTCAAGAGTCTGCATGCTGGTTAGAGAAGTTTATGGCTAAAACGTTCAAACTTCTAGACTAAGATAGATCCATTCCCATTTCAGTAGAAGTTACCAATAATCAGAAGCTTTGACAGCATAGCCTTCTATTACATAGAATTATTTATGGATATTTTAATACTTAGGAGTTCAACTTACTGTTTAAAATGCTCTTGCCAAGGGAGATAATCTGCCTTAAAAAATGTATAAAACTGTAATCAGAGGAGCTGTACTTTCCTCAAAGCCTGCTGCATAATTACAAAACCACTTGGTGCACCTGAGATATGTTACAAGAGAAGGCACTTGATGCAAATCAGATGATGTAGGTACAAGTTTAACTTGGAGAATCTGAGCCTGGTGTATTAGGATGAATCACCAATTTACGGATTTATGGACACCTAGAACAAAGTGGGGGACTTAAATTTGGTTTTTTCCCTCTAATTTTATTTTGATCAAGAAGCAGTGTATATGAGCCAACCATGCGATTGCCAGTGCGATTGCTGGTAAAAGAATATCTTGATGCTCTTTCAGTGTGCCTCAAAAAAGCACAACAAAATGGAAAATTTCTAAATGACCATTCAAAATTAACATCTTCATCTTCATAATTCATCTTCAGAAATGAAGTAAAACATTAGGGCAGTAGAAGTTTCAAAATTAGTTTTTCCGTCAGAAAAATGCACTAATTGGTTAACTTAAAACTGTTTCTTTAATTAGCAACAGATTCACGTTAGGTCTAAAAATCAATTCAGACCTTTCAGCTTCCACTCTAGTGCAGTTTTTATCAGTTTCTGATTTCCTTGATGTCAT